GTATATTGTGTTGGCTTCAAAATATATCTGACATCTGACCAGTTCTTATCATCTCTACTTGGGTCACTCTGGTTCAACACCATCTTCTCTCTCCTTCTACATAACTCATAGCAAGTCTCCCCACTACTACTGGTACTCTCAGAATATTTGCCTCAGAATACTAATAACATTCTTTTGAAAAGTAAGAGATTACATCACTTTTTCTCAGAATCTTTCACTAGCTTCCCATGTAACTCAGAGTACAAGCTCAAGTCCTTAAAATGAGCTAGTTTTGTGGTCCTGCTCTCCCTCCCTCCTGAGGATCTTTCTCTGAACTCAGATTTTACTGTTGTCTCCACCGCTCACCCCATGTAGGCCTCCTTGGTCTTCCTTAAGTAGGTATTTTGACTTACTGTTCCCCCAGCCTGGAATGCTCTTCTCCAGATATCCATATGACTCACTTCCCCATCTGCTCTAGGTCCTTGCTTAAATAGTACTTCCTCTGTAAGTTCTCTGATTACCAAACAGAAATCTGAAATCTCCTACCTCCCCCATACTTGTTACCTTTTCCCACCTTTTCCTTCATTATAGCCCTTATCCTTTTCCTGCTTTTTCTTTCTTTATAGCCCTTATCACCATTTAGCACTTTGTATTTTGCTTACTTATTTTGTATTTTTTTTCCTCTCTCTAGAATATAATCTCCATGAGGGCAGGAATTTTTGTCTCTGTTGTGTGCGTGTGTGTGTGTAGGAAAATTCATGACACATATTTTAGTAGCCTTCCAGCAAATATTTGTTGAATGAATTAATAAATAAGCCAAAATAGTTTATTGAATCATGTAATTGATAATTCTAAAACACTGATGAGAACACCCTGCAGAGGGAGAGAGATTACTCATTTAGCAAACCTTCTGTAGGGGAGAGGGGGAAAGTGTCATTAGATTTATTAACCTAGACTGTAAGTCAGTATAAGTATAAAAAATATGAATAACGGGACCCCTTGGTGGCACAGTGGTTAAGAATCCACCTGCCAATGTAGGGGACAGAGGTTCAAGCCCTGGTCTGGGAAGATCTCACATGCTGTGGAGCAACTAAGGCCGTGCGCCACAACTACTGAGCCTGCACTCTAGAGCCCGTGCTCCGCAACAAGAGAAGCCACCACAATGAGAAGCCTGTGCACCACAATGAAGAGTAGCCCCTGCTCTCCACAACTAGAGAAAGCCCACGTGCAGCAACGAAGACCCAACGCAGCCAAAGATAAATAAATAAATTTATATATATATCAAAAAAAGGCCAAATCTATTCTAAGATAAATAAGGCTTTAAAAAAATATGAAGTAACATAAGAAATATAAGTTAAAAAATATAAGTAAATGTCTTACGGGGAAGGGAACCAAAGGGCTTTATTTCTCATTGGAGGTCTCTATCTTTAGGGAGATATTGTTTCTAGTTTCTAAGTTTGTCTGTTATGCAAATACCCTTGTAGTATTAGAAGGCTCTGACTGTGCAGGAACTTGAAAAATCCAGAGAGAATTGTTTCCCATTAATAATTCTGCATTCCAGCAGCTACATCTGAACTCACCTGAACTCAGACGTGATTAAATCTAGAGATAAAATGTTTTCAAAGTTTTCTTCGGTTCTCTTGTCATCCCTTGGCACTTCTTTGGGTTGGCTCACTGTCAAATAGGTACTTACTGTGTTCTTTCAGTTTAGCAACCTCAGCTGAAAGTTTTCTTTCTGATTAGGTCCTGCAAAATTTTGGGATTAGGTCTTATTGGTCCAATTGGGTCACATGCTCATTCCTGAACCACTGCTTGGGGCAGGGAATATGCTGATTGTCCAGACCTGGGCACCTATTCCACCTGCACCTATTCCAGGAACTTCCTGTTTATTCCAGTAACTTGAGAGTGGAAAGGATCAGTGCCACGCAAACTACAGTGATTGACAATAGAGAAGGGTGGTTCAACAGAAGAAAATTTAAATGCTGCTACCAAAAGGAAGGGAGTTGGAAACAACACAGGTCCATCACTTAAATTCACATGCAACTCACACTCATTTTTTTTGGAAAGCTTAGACTCTTATTGTATGTAGGCATTCC